CTCTCACAACTCTTGTTACAATCCAGACATCAATTGTATCCGATATATTAGTATATATATTGCCATCGTTCTTTTCTAGACATTACTTTCTGTTGAGACCTTGGGATCAGCTCCTCATCCTCCCCCCCCTTGTGACCCCTTGTTAGATTCTAGATTGTTACTATTTTAAAAAATAAATTATTTAAAAAGAATTCACTCTTGATACCACATTCTACCTTTTGATGTCTTGTCTTGGTCTGCTTTAGGTAATTGCTGGTCACCTCTTTTAATGGAAAACTTATTATTAAACTCATTATTTCCTCCAGTTTTCTAATCCTGAATATTTGTATTTTGTCACGAAGACAAGAGCTCTCTTTACTTCTCCATTAAAAAAAACAAAACTTTTATTGGGGGCTTACATCTCTTATCACAATCCAGACATTCATCAGTGTGTGAAGCACATTTGCACATATGCCGCCATCATTTTCAAAGCATTCTCTTCCCACCTGAGCTCCTGATATCAGCTCCCCATTTCTTCCCCCTCACTCTCGCGTCCACCCTCCCTCATGAACCCTTGATACGTTATCTTACATCGTCCTCCATCGCTCCTCACCCACTTTTCCGCCCCTCACTCACTTTTCCGTTATTCTTCCCCCTGGGAAGGGGTTCTAGATTGATCCCTGTGATTGATTCCCCATTTTCGCCCCACCCTCCCCTAATCCTACTGGTATCTCTACTCTCATTGTTGGCCCTAAAGGGTGTATCTATCCTAGATTCCCTGTGTTGTGAGCTCTTATCTGTAGCAGTATGCATGCTCCAGTCTAATCTGATTTGTAAAGTCTAATTAAGGTCATGATAGGGGGTGAAGGAAGCACCAAAGAACTAGAGGAAGGTATATGTTTCATCGGTGCCATACTGCAGCCTGACGGCCCTTCTATTCCCTGTGACCCATCTGTGAGGGGATGTCCAATTGTCTACAGATCTCTACACCAGCCCCTGACCCCCCCCCAACCCCATTCACCTTGTATATGGTTTTGTTCTGGGTCTTAGATGCCTGATACCTGATCCCATTGACTCTTCATGATCACACAGGCTGGTGTACTTCCATGTGGGCTTTGTTGCTTCTGAGCTAGATAGCCACTTGTTTATCTGGCTTGTCTGTTTTGTTAATCCTTTCAAAGAAGCAACTTCTTGTCTTTCTCATTCTTTGTATTATTTTTGTTGTAGGTTTATTTATTTCTGCTGTAATTATTATAATTTTTATTTCTTGTTGTGGCTTAGTTTGCTACCCTTTTTCTATTTTTCGGTAGCTTTTAGATGGAAAAATTGATTTTGGTCTGTTCTTGACAATGTGAATTCCAGAGTGATATATAGTGAAGTTTCCAACTATTATTTTAGTGTTTGTCTCCCTCTTCTACTCCGTAATTGTTTGATTTATGTATTGTGAGGTGCTTTTATTGGTTAGATAGATATTTATTATGGTATAGCCTCTTGTTCAATTGACCATTTAGTCATTATTTAATGTTCTTCTTTGTATCTTATGCTGGTTTTTCCCCTTAAAGTCTATTTTATCAGAAATTAATATTCTTGCTCTTTTTTATGGCTCTGAGCGTAAAGTATATTTTTTCACCCTTTGATTTTTTTTTAAGTGTATTTTTGTCTTTGTGTCTAAGGTGTGTTTCATATAAGTTTCACATTCATAGGTCTTGTTTGTTAATTCATTCTGCTACTTTCTGTCTTTTGACTGGTGTATTTAATCCATTCACATTTAGTGTAATTATTAATTGGTATGAATTTATTACAGTCATTTTGCTGTGCATTTGTGTGTGTATGTGTGTTTATTCCACATAATTTACTGTGCTGTGCTTATTTAGGTCATGAGTTTTCTTGTCAGTTTTTCATTACTGTTATTTTAGTATTTACTAAATCTTTATGATTGTTTTCATTTTCATTTTGATGATGCGTATTCATTTTGTTTGAGGTGATTGTATATTTTATTAATGTCTTCCCATGTTTAATACAGACTGACTGACTGCCATGGAGTCTGAGAATGTAAATATTTATGTGGCAGTAGAAAGCCTCATTTTTCTCCTGTGGAATGGCTGGTAGTTTTGAACTGTTGACCTTGCAACCCAATCTGTAACCACTACACTACTGGGGCTCCTTAAATTTAATAAGTGTGTTCTGTCTTGAAATGTACATGAATGACTTCCTTGTCATTTGAAAGTTCTGTAATTACTCTATTTTATTGGCCTTAATTATCTTTGTTACAAATTGATACCTGGTTTCCTATATTCCCTCTTAAGGTGTTTTACTTGGAAAACTTACCGTATATACTTGTGTATAAGCCAAATTTTTCAGCACATTTTGAATGCAGTTTTTGTGGTAAAATTAGGTGCCTCAGCTGATATTTGGGTTGGCTTATACTTGAGTACATACAATATATGTTTGGGCTAGATTCTGGGTGGTGTTTTCACGTATAATAATCTCAGATTGTTGCCTGTTGTCTACTCTTTGTCAAAAGAATCCCCCTCGGAATTTTTTATAAGGTTGGTCTGATTAGTAAAATTCCTTTGATTTCTGTTTATATAGAGATAATTGTAATTTTGTCATTGCATCTGAGGGACAATTTTACTTGGTATGTGATTTTTCGGTTGAAAGTTTTTTCTTTCAGAGTGTTATATATGTCCATCAAACTTGAGAATCTGACCCAAGAGCGTGAAGGTGGTGTGCAGGGGTTCTGGGGGAATATCTAGACAGTGAATAATGAGGGTGGGGTTGACCCAGCTCCTGGTCACCAGGAGAGCATGGGGAAGAAGGGAGGATATTACCTTTTTGGTTGTCAGCCACCAGTGTGCACCTTTGCTGGTCCTGGGCAAGTGAAACCAGCTGACAATCCACCCATCTCTTTGGACACTCCCGTTCAGCTTATTTACCTAGTTGGCATTCTATCCACCTCTCTATCCTTTCTTCTGAAGATCAGGATTCCAAGATTATCTTCCATATCAGTTCTCTCATGTCTTTGTTGCAGAAGGTCTGTGTAGCATGCTTGCCCATCCTGCCATCTTACCAGATATCTGATCTAATTTTCCATGATCATAGCTAAATATTAGATGCTCTAGACTTTATTTCCATGTGGAAATGGTTCCATCCCAAGGGATCATAGCCTTTCTTATCCAAGACATAGGTATAGAATGCCTTTCCATTTGGTTCACTCATGCCCAGTGTTGGAAGATTGACGAAGGACTCTGTAGTCTCTTTAATCACACCAGCGGCTTGCTAACAGAATAATATGAGGGGACTTCCAAAAGTTCATGGAAAAATCCATTATCTGTTAATTCCACTTTGCCCCAAACTTTCTCAAGCCCCCTCGAACAACTTATCAGCCAAATCAGGCATATTTAAGAATAAAAGGGATATATATGAAGAAGTAACCAAGGACAACAGGCATAAACCAAAATTTTGTTTTCAGATGCTGTGTTAGACAGGGTTCTCTAGAAACCAGAATGCTAATAATTTTATATATATTTATATAGATAGATATGTAACAAGAAATAAGCAGTTAATTAAATTATAAAGCATTACAAATGGCTCAGTGCAACTCAGTCCCGTGAGACAGTTGTGAGACACTGGCAGTCCTTCAAGTCTTGAGGGCTGCCGGGTAGTCCTCTGTAGGGCAATTCAGGCTATGTGGGCACAGGCAGCAAACAGCAAGGCATGTCACCAGCCAGATTACAGGGTCTGACAGTCCCCAGCTCAAGAGATGTACGTTCCAATAGTGTGGTAAAGCAGGTCTTGAAGGAACCTAAAATTACAGCGACACAGTCCATGGGTTAGGTGTCCCACAGGTAGTGTAGCTTGAAAATTGAGGCAGAGAACAAGCAAGGCAGCCGCACACTGCTCTGATGATCCAAGAGCGAGAGACAAGAGAGGCAAGGCTCGTCGAGCCATTTATCTCTCCACCCTTCAGTTAATCTCACATATGTTCATTGGCCATGTTGGCACAATAAATGTTAACTATCTCTGATGCCATCAAATTGGTTTCCACTCTTAGTAACCCTGTGTACAACTGAAGAAAACATGGACTGGCCCTGCACTATCCTCAGAATCACTGGTATGTTTAAGCTCATTGGTGTAGCTACTGTGCCTCTTTTTTGCATTGCGTCTCCCACTTTTCTGATGACCCTTTACCAGTTATATTCTTTTCTAGTGATTGGGTTTTTGTTTGTTTGTCTGTTTTTTTGTGATAATGTGTTCACTGTAAACCAGATGATTAGGGCTGGGTAAGGTGGATGATTGATTATTTTAGCTAATAAACCCTGTCTATATTGCCTCAAAAACAAACAATAATATTTTATATCTTGGGCTGTCTATTAGACCTTCTAAGGATCCCTGATGGCACTATGGGCTAGGTATTGGGCTGTTAAATACATGGTTTCTGGCTAAATCCCACCATTTGAGAAACATCAGACAATTTATTTCTGTAGATATACAATCTCAGAAAGCTGGGAATCAGTTCTGTTTGTCCCCTGGGGTCAGAATTAACTTGATGATGTGGGTTTGGGCTTAGCTGATATTTCTGTACTTGGTATAGCACCATTGAAAGTAAAAAAGCTTCCTTATTTTGATTTTCCTGAATGGTGTGTTTCATTTTCTAATATGGAATGAGATTCTCTCTATTGTTGAGTGCTATTAAATCGGTGAGAGAGTATCTCATATATTATTAAGTAAACGATAACGGTTCCTTCATTGGATTCCACCAGCTAGATAATATAATTTCAGGGGTCAAATCGAAGGACAGAAGTGTAGCAGAAGCACTTACTGTCCATGCTTGGTAATCGCGTCTGTTTTGAAAGCTGAGGCCTGGATCATTAGCATTAGTAGAATATTGCCATCATTTTCTATTTTGCTGCTATTTTCAGGCTCTTGAAATTAAATTATTGTTGGTGACTTTCCTGTACAAACCAAGTATTATTGAACGTTTAATTTTAATGCATGTCCTCATACTGTTGTCTTAACAGAAAAAAGGTTGGCCGGACCACAAGCGGGAATGCAAATGCCTTAAAAGCTGCCAACCCAGATACCCTCCTGAATCAGTCCGCCTTCTTGGCAGAGTGGTTTTCAAACTTGTGAGTATGAGCTTCAGTAACTAGGTGTGGGTTCCAAGAGACAGAAACACATGAAATTGCACTTCTTATGCATGTCTACGGCTGAAATGAAACCCAGGTTAAAGCAGAAGGTGAGACTATATGAAGAGCAAAAAAGTCCCGGCTGTTGATGCTCCTTGATGCTCCTGTTAGTTTCAGCAGTGGTGGCAGTGATGAAGCCCACACTCCTCTCCAAAGGTCCTTTCATCTCCTTCTGGAAACAGAAGGCCCTGTCTTTGGGATATGAGATGTTAGTAATGTTTGTTACGTTGCCATTTCAAGTTTCCAACCAGGAATTAACATCAAGATGAGTGTATCCTTTTTGTTTGCCTTTACAAATGAAATTTTAAAAAGAAGAAAGCTCATCTTAAATGGCAGCATTCTTATTTTTATAATAATTATAACTTTTTGAATGATTTCTTAAGCTCTTTCTCTTTTTTTTTT